GGGTGAGTAGTACAGGACATGAATTCTCATATGAACTAGATTGATTGTCATCCAGAGAAAGAGAGAGAGAGAGAGAGAGAGAGAGAGAGAGAGAGAGAGAGAGAGAGAGAGAGAGAGAAATAGAAACAGATACGAGAGGGGGAGAGAGAAAGAGGGAAAATAGAAAGAGCAAGAGTGAAGTGAGAGAGAGAGAGAGAGAGAGAGAGTAGGGATGAGACAGAGAAATTCCCCAAAAGGAGGAAGATTAAATGGGGGGCAATGCCCCTAGTGGTGGTTTAGGGGGCTGTGCTCCCCTTCCGCAGTTAAGAATATATTTGCGTAATTGGACACATTCTCCTTGCATTTTTGTTTTATTTAAATTTCAAATGTTTAAAGTTCTGTATCCCCCCCCCCCCCCCCCCCCCCCTGTGTAGAATCTCAAAATCGGCCGATCGGCAGAGGAATCTCGTCCCTGAGAGGGAGAGAGTGAGTGAGAAAGGGACACAAAATGCATGTGCACACAGATACACATGCACTCACAGAGAGAGAGAGAGAGAGAGAGAGAGAGAGAGAGAGTAGTAGTAGACCTTCTTCAGCTCGTATTCCTACCTAGCGGCACTAGAGTGAAGTAGGCCAGTTTCAAGTACCTCAGCAAGACAATATCATGCAAAATTCATCTCCAAGGGCCATGAATTATTCCTCTTAATCTCTATCTCTTATGCTTCATTGCTTCTCTTTCAAGTAACAAACCAGTCCTAAATTCACAGACTCTACTGAAATGTATATGACCCAGCAACACTGTTTAATTGTGGTCATGTATTGGAAAAGCTATATGAAATTGATTGCTTGGAAGCACTTGTGTCTGACAACTTGTACAACCCTAAATAGTATTAAATTCTATGGTATGCTACCATATCAGAATGTATCAGTTCACCAATTGATGGATTAATTCATGTCCAAAACACATCACCTAAACGGAATAGAAAAACATTACAAACACATTTGGTTACCTTTGCAATATACCTGACCTAGTAGATTTGACACAATTACTTGTTTTCCAATGCATCAGGAAAACTTTCTAGTACCCAACCGTTTCTCTTCTATCAAATCATTTCCAATATCATAAAAGTTCTTTTATTTTTATACAAATCCATTTTTTACATTTTTAATCTAATAAAATTGGCTTTTTCTCTTTTGAGGAACATGGGTTAGTCCATTCATGACTTTGGAATACACAACAATGACTAATGAAAATGGCATTGTGTTAAGAGAGTTAAGAAGTTCAGCATACAAAGTAAGAAATGGTGCAATTTGATGAGTAACTTTTTTATAATCTCAGGTTCATGACCTTCCGCTATTTCTCCTTTTACTCTGACTGAAGTGACCTACAAACTCTTGACCTCACAAACCACTTCCTGTGGTCTAATTTGCATGATTTCCTGATGAAGGGACTCATCATACATCATGTGTTCATGAGCATGACAGCTTCTTAAAAGGGGTTTAGCATGACCAGACTACATGTCTTTCCCGTGGCCTGACTCTGGGCTAATCAGGTATAATACAACTATGGATGAAGCCACCGCAGTATTCACGTGCATGCAACAAACGCAAAACTTTGGTCTGTTTCGCGAACGCTAGCGCGTGCTGACCGTTAATGAAATCCATTCATTTACATGCAGTTGTCCAAAAGAAGTAATAGATGGCGTAAACCAGTATTTGCCATGCTACACCCCCTTTAAGTTTCCCCTTGTCCATTCAGACTTGATTGTAATCTTTTCAACGTCTGGAGTAAAGATTTGTTTATGTTTACGAATAGACATTTCACATCATTAACTTAACAAGACAAATGGATTGATCAATTCTGCATTGAAGTTTGATCAATAAAGTAGAGCAGGTTAAAAAAAGTTGTAGTGTTCAACAACAATAAAAAAAAAAAAAAATATATATATATTTAGGCCAACAACAAAAGAATTGTAGTATCAAACAATATAACAAAGAAGAAGAGTGATTTATGATGGACGAAGAATTAGGTGACAAGGAAAAAAATTAAAAAATTGAGAACAAACAATCACATTTTGAGATCATATGCATAAATCATATTGACCAATAATTAATGTTTCCTCTTATTATTTATACATTAATCCTATACAATGTTAAACCATTCATCTCATTTCATTTCATCTCTTATTTCGCAAATAATTTGAGAGGAAAGTCATTTATTTCATCTGGCTGGCTCAAGAACTCCTCTATTCATACGACATGACAGGCTGAATTGCAAACGGATACTGTGCGCATGTTTGTGTTGGTTTAAACAGAGTCATCACCTAAATTAGACATGTCAAGGGGGTACCTGGTCATGTCATAGCCGGATGGACGCCATGCACAGGTCACAATCTAACTGACAGGATGACTGCCAGTGCAAGGATGTGTTAGAGTAGGTGCTTTCATAGTTTAATGCTAATCATATCCTTGTCCTGAAAAGAAGCAATAATTCCTCACACTTCTTGCATGCCATGGATTGGTGAATATTGTGAGCGTATATAGGGGTGGGGAGGGGGCCCGGCGGTGTGGGGATGAAGAGTGGGGGAGGGTTGGAAGATTGTAATGGTTTCTTTTCTTTGCCATTCCTTCCCCTGTTCCCACAGTATTTCCAACTCATTTCCCCTCCCCTTCCCCCCTCCCCTTCCCCCCTCCCCTTCCCACCCTCCCCACTCACCCCACAGCAACATCATCTCCCTTCCCCATCCCCTCCACACACATCATCACCACACTTGCCCTATCCATGTGGTCTATTAAAGATAAAAACGAAAGCTGTTACTAGCTATTGGATGTCAGGTAGGAGTGGGAAAAGACATGTTTATGCCAACTCTAATTACGTTCCTTTCTAAGCTGATATTAGGTCAAAAAATAATAGTCATATAATGAACAGCTGCTTCACCTTAATTTAGTACACCTACAGTACGTGGTAAGAGGGGTTTAAAGTAGTGTATTTTGGTGAGGGGGAGGGGAGGGGTTGAGATGGTCAAGTCAGTTGTGAATCACACTTCATGTTAAGAGGTTAACGAGGTGATAAAGCTCTTCTTTACTTTACAAGAACAAAACTTGAAAGATGTTATGACAAGGTTTTAAATATATTTAAATTCTAAATCAGCAATTACACAACATTTTCTTAATGGATAACAAAAGTGATGTCAACTAAATGTAAATGGAATCAGAATTCCATCTTTATAGAAAGGATATTATTGCACTGTATATAAATTACCATTCATCAAAACTGTACTCAACTACTAATGGAGGTGACATTTTCTTGATGTGAAGAAATTTACCCCTGGCCATGCATTTTTAACCAAGATTTTCTGAGCCTTGTATAAAAATTATTCTCACCAGACAACACAAATCCTCTAATCTTCTGAGCTATAATAATCATAATAATAACTTTTGATTTATTTAGCGCATTATGATTAATACTTAATCCTCTATGTGCTATGTAAAGAGTTGTTTTCATATGCCCAAAGTGATAAACACCTTAAGCTTTATCGCACTTTATCCTCACAAAAAGCACAAAAATCTGAACATCAATTCACAAAACCATCATAAGAACAACTTCACCTACATCCCACTGAAATATGTGTAAATTAACACATATTTCAAAGAGATGTTGTTGAACTTTAACAACAGTTCCATGAAAAATCCCCTAAAGCTTTCCCCTAAAAAGAAGGCACTGTTCTTGATAAACCCCCAAACAACATTCTCCTTATAGAGCCCTACATATGGATGCAAATCTTTGATCTACATTCTCACTCCAGAACATCATTCTTACAACATTTCACTCAAGTGTAAATGCATATCAAAGCAGGTAAAGGGGAATATTTTATTCTCACTCCAGAACAATGTTACTAACAGTGTTTTATTCAAGTGTGAACCAATGAAAAGCAGGTGAAGAGGAATACTCAGACGAGAGACATTGCAACGACATGAAGAGCCAGAGAGTAAACATCAATGTGCTTGCACTGGCAGGCGAGGGAGCCCCTTGCAGGGGGCGGAATATTTTGGTTGTGTTTATGCAAATGCTCTTGAGAGACCATTACTGGATAACAGCACGCATTGCCTCCAGCTAGACTGCTATTAACAGTGACTACATCAACCCCAAGCCAAGAGAAATTGCTATCAGAAGATGACGGGGGAGATGGTGGAAATTCCGCAAGGTTCTCAGATTGTTGATCTGAAAATCTCATTGTTTACTTGTCTAAAAAAAAACTGGCATTGAGAAAAACAGAATAAGACATGAAGAATTTATTAGGACGGATTGAGAGAATGTATGAAAAATAAGAGAGGCTAAAACAAGGCAAGATACAAAATTGAAAATAATAGACACAATTAAATAATCAATTAAGTAGTAAATTAAAAAAGTGGACGTTGAACAAGCAAAGTGGATGTAGAATAATATGATGAACATGTAGTAGATGTAAAATCAGTAGATGTAGAAGTAATATATGGAGAATTTTTAGAAGTAGTAAAGGTAGTAGAATTACTAAAAGTAGTGGAAAAGTAGTTTAAAAGGAGGTAGTATAAGTAGAAATAGTGGATGTAAAAGCAGTAGGTGTAGATGTAGTAAATATAGAAGTAGTAGATGTAGAAGTAGTAGATGTAGAAGTAGTAGATGTAGAAGTAGTAGATGTAGAAGTATTAGATGTAGAAGTAGTAGATGTCGAAGTAGTAGATGTAGAAGTAGTAGATGTAGAAGTAGTAGATTTTGAAGAAGCAGATTTGGAAGTAGTCAATATAGAAGTAGTGGATATAGAAGTAGTAGACGTAGAAGTAGTATTAGTAGAAGAAGTAAAAGTAGTAGTAGAAGTAAAAGTAGTAGTATAAGTATAAGTAGTAGATGTAGTAGTATTAGATGGAGAAGTAGTAGACGTAGAAGTAGTAGTAGAAGCAGAAGTAGTAGATGTAGAAGTAGTAGATGTAGAAGTAGTAGATGTAGAAGTATTAGATGTAGAAGTAGTATTAGATGTAGAAGTAGTAGATGTAGAAGTAGTATTGGATGTAGAAGTAGTAGATGTAGAAGTATTAGATGTAGAAGTAGTAGATGTAGAAGTAGTAGATGTAGAAGTAGTAGATGTAGAAGTAGTAGATGTAGAAGTAGTAGATATAGAAGTATTAGATGTAGAAGTAGTATATGTAGAAATAGTAGATGTAGAAGTAGTATTGGATGTAGAAGTAGTAGATATAGAAATAGTAGATGTAGAAGTAGTATTGGATGTAGAAGTAGTAGATGTAGAAGTATTAGATGTAGAAGTAGTAGATAAAGAAGTATTAGATGTAGAAGTAGTAGATGTAGAAGTAGTAGATATAGAAGTATTAGATATAGAAGTAGTAGATGTAGAAGTAGTAGATGTAGAAGTAGTAGATGTAGAAGTAGTAGATGTAGAAGTAGTAGATGTAGAAGTAGTAGATGTAGAAGTATTAGATGTAGAAGTAGTAGATATAGAAGTAGTAGATATAGAAGTATTAGATGTAGAAGTAGTAGATATAGAAGTATTAGATGTAGAAGTAGTAGATGTAGAAGTAGTAGATATAGAAGTATTAGATATAGAAGTAGTAGATGTAGAAGTAGTAGATGTAGAAGTAGTAGATGTAGAAGTAGTAGATGTAGAAGTAGTAGATGTAGAAGTAGTAGATGTAGAAGTAGTAGATGTAGAAGTAGTAGATGTAGAAGTAGTAGATGTAGAAGTAGTAGATATAGAAGTAGTAGATATAGAAGTATTAGCTGTAGAAGTAGTAGATATAGAAGTATTAGATGTAGAAGTAGTAGATATAGAAGTAGTAGATATAGAAGTATTAGATGTAGAAGTAGTAGATGTAGAAGTAGTAGATATAGAAGTATTAGATGTAGAAGTAGTTGATGTAGAAGTAGTAGTAGAAGCAGAAGTATTAGATGTAGAAGTAGTATTAGTACAAGAAGAAGAAGTAAAAGTAGTAGTAGATGTAGAAGTAGTAGATGTAGAAGTAGTAGATTTAGAAGAAGTAGGTGTAGTAGAAGTAGATATAGAAGCAAATTTTAAAGAAAACGATGATGTAGCACGAGTAGAAAATATAGATACAGACAAATTAGAAGGATTAGAAATAGAAGTAGTATTAAATGATAGGAGAAGAAATGAATGACATTAGCAGCAGCATTTATATAATTCCAAGTAGTATTACAGAATTAGAGAGTGGATTAGAATTAATACTAGACATAGTGAAACTATAATCAAGCCAGTATAGAAGGAAATCTGAATATTACGATTTGCGAATCCTAATTTTCATTGCATTGAATTGATTGTATTAAGTACCTTGCATAATCTCATTACCATGGCAACCAAAACAGTGATTGGTGAGTGTCCAGAGTACATTGTCAACCACGATACAAACTCTTCCCTTACAAGCTAGTTTATCAATTTCAGATTCAGAGGAGAACATGAAGGGGCTTAATCAGTCAGCATTGTTTGGTTGCTGTGATCAAGTTGTATTTATCTTGGTGAAAGTACCTTAAACCTCTTGCTGCTTCAGGAAGTCCCTAGCCTGATTTGTGTACAGCGTATACAGTATGGTCTTCACTTGCTGCATTTGATACTACAAAGTAGATAAATGCACTACAGCTTGATAGCCCAATGATATAATTCTTACATGAAGTCTTAATAAAGTTTCTTAAAAAACATCTCTATTTGATCTAAGTATGGGCGACAACACACCTTATCTATGAAGATAAACACTTTATACATTAACAAACAAAAAAACATGTTTGAGACCTTTAGATATTGTCAACTAATTTCTGGTGCATGTTCAGATGTTTGCAAAATGTTTAGAAGACATGAAAACCTTTGGATTCCTGTTTGAAGTATGGGATATTGCCACGCACTGTCCTATAGTTCAGCGACTCTCTTCAGACATGTTTGTCTGCATGCTCACTCGCTTCATTTAAAAGACTTGTATACAAGAATGCCCCATTAGTTGCTCTGGGGTACGGAGATGGGTGGTTTCAATGCTCGCGGCATCTTTCCCCAAAGCTGTCATGTAAAGCCTTGGTATTGATTATGCATGCTAGTTAAAAGTCTCATCAGCGGCAATTGCTCTTTGATAAACGCTCTCATCTCTTTCCACCTCTCTCTCTCTCTCTCTCTCTCTCTCTTGCACTACTTCACTCTGCCCGTTCTCTCTACCGCTTCTCTCTCTTTTTCTCTGTCTATCAATTCCTTCTATTGCCTCCCCCCTCTCTCTCTTCCTCAATACCTGATGTGCACTCTCTCTCTCTCTCTCTATCCGTCTTTCTCTTGTACTCCTCCACTTTGCCCATTCTATCTACCGCTTCTCTTTCTTTTTCTCCTTTTATCAATTCTCTCTCCCCCCCCCCCCTCTCTCTCTCTCTCTTCCTCAATACCTGATGTGCGCGCTCTCTCTGTCTTTCTCTCATTCCTTCCATAGTATGGATTCACAATGAACAGCGCCTTCTCTGGCAAGTCGGGACAGGCTAATTTCTCAACTTGGGTCACCTTCTTTCAACCAGTGATGCACAGCAAAGACTAGCCACCATAAAAAATAACCAAAGTGGTCCGAACTGGGTAAGTTCATTCCATGAGATTGCCTGTTCTGATATCAGAGCACAATTTTATGTTGAATTTGGATGAAGAAACCCATCCATCAATTGATTCTGATTGAGAATTTAGCCTGGTTTGGACAGAAATCAATACCAATGGTCATTTTTGGCTAAATTAATGACCATATTGTTGTTGATGGAGATGAATTTGACCTTTTTTTTATCATCAGGGCCCATCAAATCTCCTTTGCCCATGATAACGATCAGAAAAATTACCCTGACCAAAGGTGGCCATAATGGTCAGTTTGGGCCAAAAAGTGGTCAAAATGACAACAAATATTGTGAGTAGGGTCATTAAGACTGACAATTTTGGAATCAGCACAACATTTTTTAGCAAGGGTAAGTTATTCAAACCTTCCCAGCCAAAAACTCTGATTAAATCTCCTTATCTCCTAGGTTATATAACAAAGTCGCAGCTGATACAATGTTAACGTTTTACCCAAGATGCATCACATGAAATGGACTAGACACTGGTGTTGCTAGATGGTGCTACAGATTGTTAAATCACTGTATTGCTCTCTTTCTTTCTTTCCCTCCCTGCCTCTCTCTCAGCACATTATATTTATGGGTTTAAAACATAACTGCATAGCATATCAACCATGGCAAATAATTGTGGTACAGAATTCTGATATATGTTGACTTACCTATTGAATGGAATCCGATGGAAAGCAGCCAAAAAGAGAAATATGAAATAAAGAAAAGAAAAGGAAAACAAAACAGTTAGATTGATTGACTTTTAACAACTTTTCATCTACAGATGCTGTTGTTACGAATCTTAATTATTGTAAATCATATGCATATTCCTGGTTATGTAAACATATGTGCATGCACATTCATGATGGGTTGGTGAATGGGATATCCAATAAACCACCACAGCCATGTTGTTTTTTATAATGTTTTATAATGTTGTTTTTTATAATACTTTTGATGTTTGAGTAGCCATGTGTTCTGAGGTTCAGGAGGGTGAATATTAAATAATGTAGAACCTTTCTTGTATAATAGCACAATATTTTGTAGTTCCCATCAAAACTACTGTAAGAAAGAATGACTTAAGAAGGTGATGAAGGTCATATGGTATTTTAAAAAACGAATTTAAATACATTTGTCTGTTCAAAGCCAGGATGGTCTTAAGATTATATGAGCTAACACCCTTCTGGTTCCAAACATATTAATAATCTTCATATAATTAGTGACCATCCATAATTGGATTAACAATATTGTCATTACCATATATAACAACTGATCTAAATGCAATTACTTCTTTCCCTAGAATTATTATTATTAGATTTATGATGTTTGTTCTATTTTTGTGATATCAAATTATTTAACGCACAATGGTATATGTACACTAATTATCATTTATAGTGTTTGTATAACTTTACCATTTGTGATATTATATTGTATGTATTTTTGAAATGTGTTTGTATATTGTGAACAATTCAATAATAACCTGCTGATCACTATTTGTCTTAAACCATTAATAAATGAATAAATGAATAAATGAATAAATACAATAAAGCTGTTCTTTTTCACTACAGTTCTTTTGAATCTCGCTAGGTGAAACTGGTTCTGTTTGTTAACTTCTAGACCACAGTCAGCTAAACAAGGAAACGCCTATTCAAATTCATCATGTTTGTATGGAAACTGAAACTTCATTACCGGGTAATGTAATCAAAAGGGCACCTAATTATATTTGATGGCAGTGGGTTGAAAGAGTTTTCATTTTAAGTACGGTAGATTAAAAATGAGAACCAAAACAAAAAGAGAAAATGATGCAATATGAGTATAAGAAAGAAGAGGGGTAAACATTGAAAAAAAAGGAATGACAGACAAGAGAGCTATACAAGAACCCACTATTATTATTATTATTATTATTTTTACTATAAAAAGAGTAGCATAGGATTGCATAGTGAAACCAACAATAGTGCAAACATGAGATGAATATAGCCTTTTAAAGAAATAAGCTACAAACTGCTTCCTGATAACCTGCCTGGTTCTAAACACAAGAGGGCCTCCTTGCCTTAGGATAAAACAGTCACATGGACTTCTAAGCACTAGAGAATGATTTTATGTACATAATGTTACAAGAAGCTACAGAGGAATCAACAATTATATATGTACATAGGAGAGAGAAGTTCATGAGGTAGAATGGGATTTGTAACTTATTAGTCATACAATAATTACATGGGGAATTCAATACAAAACATAATTTTATCTTCTGTTTTCTACAAGGGACACTTGCATTTAGCAAAGCAAGAAGAATGTTGCACTAGGATTTACCAGTAAGATTCTCACAGAAAAGCTCAAAAAGAGCCCTTTTAAAACTGAAAACAAGCTTAAATAAACCAGAGATGACATCACTTATACTGAGAAATATGCCATGCTAAAACATGCACTACAAAATCTAAGTTAATGATGCTTCTCAAAAAGCAAAGTTTCCTGCAAAAATTAAACCTTGCACTTGAATATAACCATAGGTGTATGCACACTGCTCCCATGTATGTGAGACAAGCTGACAGTGTAAACACTGTGCAGTATTATCAACTGTACAGTTATGTTTGAGGATCAATTACAGCTTGTCTGTAAACTATTTACTGTGTGTAAACAGACCAAGAATGGTGATGGAATAATATAGGATCAAGAGGATGTGAGTTAAGACGTTATCTTCATAGCGGTTTATTGACACATTAGCTCCTTCAAACAACCTATATCAACAAGATGGTACAGAGATCAAAGGCTCTTCTTTACAATGCTGTATATACTGGTTGTAATATTTACAATCATATCAAAACACAGACATGTACTAACCTTAGAACCCCCCCCCCCCCCCCCCCCCCCCCCCCCCCCGTTTTAATACCAAAAGGCATTATCATCTAATGTTGAATGTAAGAAGTAGTTTTTTCACATTTTTTCACTAGGCTATTAAACATGAACATTGGCTACAATTATCAGCCGATTCTTCTTTGGAAAACCAATTTTAAAACTAAATGATAGACCTGGATTTACTTAGATCTATCTTCTTTTAGTCATTTGGCCACTCATGTCACTTTAGAATGATTGTACATGAATGAACATAATACTACATAAGAATTACCAAGGAGAATGGTACAAATGGAAAGCATGCAAACTCTCTGGGATGATACTTCCTTCACACATTCTAAAGGTTCTCAACTATCATCAACATTTCATTGATGAAAAATTGTCACAAACAAAAAAACCTGAAACAGCCACTTTTTTCTCACAGTCTTCCTATTCATCCGTCAGACAGCCCCCCCAAGCCAG